AAAAAAGGTTGAGAAGTTAGAGGGTTGATATGTTGTGGGGTTGTTAACCAATGTCATAAAACAACATGTGTACTACTGTTTCACGAGAAACTATTTGTTCTGTAAGCCCTCACCTGAGGTACAATTAAAACTAAATAAAGAAATGAATAAAACAGCCCATGCCCTTGGGAGCCCCAAGTCTGAGAGGGGAGGTCCATCCTGCCTTTGAGGGACCCCCTAGTCCTATAGGGAACAAAATTTATAATCTGTGGTCATATCACATCTTTCCACCAGGGGGCAGGGTAAACCCTGTTCTGGAGAGAGTGATGAAGCCACTAAGAAGACAGGCTGAGGGATTGGAAGGGAAAGACTCACCTCAGCTGGGCTGCCCCCCAAGGTGTCCAAAGTGAATGGTGGTGAGGAGCAGAGCCTGCAAGGAGGAGCAGAGACTCAGGATCTCTGCGAAGCAGTGCAGCCAGTCTCCCTCCCCCAACGCCTTCCAGAGGCCTGTCCTGGGAGGCAGAGCTTGTCCTGTCTCAGCCCTCACATTCTGCATGAGCCTCTTCCTTCACCTCAGCTGCACCCTCAACCCTGCCTCTTCCCCCATGCCTGGGCTGAGGGGCTCTTTACTCTCACCCCAAAGCCAAATGGCTGACAGGAGAATGATCATCCAGCCTCACCTCTCAGGGGACAGGAGCTTGCAGGAGTGAGGGGTGGTCAGAGCAAGAGGGCTGAGAGGTGGGTGGGGCCCTGCAGTGGGTTCTGGCCACGGTGAACACTGTGGGCAAACAAACACAAGGTCGGCCTGGACATTCCCAGGGCAGTGGTGGCTGTTCACGCACCACCACCACCATCTGTCTGTATATGAAGACCTGGCAAGGGGCCTGCCCTAAAGGGAGGCCCTGACACGTGGACTAGCTTTCAACACAAAGGAAAAGAGTAAAGTAGCCTCCAGGTCTGGGGCATTTGGGGAGGGCTTCCTGGAGGAGCTAGCCAGGACAAGCAGCAGGAAGGAAGGTAGGTTTACTGAGCAGTGGGTACAGAGGTGAGGAGATGGTGATGGCAGATGCAGGAGGGGCAGCCTGGAGGGATGAACTGCAAGGCATCAGCTCCTGGAAAAGTGCCGAGTTTGTCCTCTGCAAGGAATGGGTAGAATCACAGGGTTGTGTTTATCCTGGAGCAGGTATGGCCCTGAGGCCTCACTTTTCCCATCTGTACAATGAGGATCCTTTCCCCCACCCCTGCCCTGACACACACACCTCCATGAAGACTGTGCTCTCACAGGCAACCTGGTACTTGTCTCTCTCATGCAGAGGCTGTTTCTCAACCTTCTCCCGGTCAGTTTTTAGTTTCCGGTCAGCTCCTTTGGGCTATGGAAGGCGACAAGGAAGCTTCAGAGGCCTCCTCTTTACCTGCCAACCTCTCTTTAGGAGGCTCCACTGGATGGGCTCTAAGAGAAAGATCAAGCCCCATCCCTCTGTGTACAGAGAACTGTCCCAGAGAGGGGACACACTGGCTGAGGGGCCACAGGGCCAGAAACTAGGCAGCCAGTGGGGCAGGGTGACAGCCCTGGGAGGAAGGAAAAGGGGCCTCAGTGCTGCCTGTACCTTAAACACCTTGATGAGGCAGCCGGCTGAATGCAGGTGCTCAGGCGGAAGCTGCTTGTCACTGGGCTTAAAGGTGTCGATCTGGAGGCGTAAGGGAACGCCTTTCTCTCCACCTTTCTTCCGGGGAGTGAACTCGGTGCTGATGCAGTGAACCTGAGGTCGAGAAGGGCAAAGAGAAAACAGGGTGACTCCAGACGCCACCCACATTTGAAAGATTTCACCCAAAACCTGTTAGTTACCTACCAGTTACCTGTCAGCCACTTAACCACAGCAATGTTTCATCCCCAGCTGGCGTCTATTCTTAAAACATAACTTTATTAGGTTCTTTCCCTTGTTCAAAAATCTCCAGGATCTCTCCATGAATATGAGAGGAGGAGAAAAGTTCCTGACTGGAGTTTGAGTACATTAATGGGTCAAGTCACATCTTCCAGCTCTGCTGTTCTCCCTCACCCACCAATGAAGCACTGACCCCCAACACACCTGTGTAGTTCTCCTTCGAGTCCTCTACCTAGAAAGCTCTCCCCACTCAAATCTGAGCCCCAAGTCTTCTGTTCCAGGGTAGGGTTTCCAGACAAAATACAGGATGCCTAGTTATATTTAAGTTTCAAATAAACAACAAATAATTTTTTAGTATAAGTAAGTCCCAAATATTGTGTGGGACATTGTCGTTGTTAGTTGCCATGTCAGCTCCAACTCATGGCAACCTTATGTCTAACAGAACAAAATGCTGCCCGGTCCTGCCCCATCCCCATAATCATTGACGTGTTTGAATCCATTGTTGTGGCCATTGTGTCAGTTCATTACATTGAGGGTTTCACTCACTTTTGCTGACCCTCTACTTAACCAAACATGATGTCCTTTTCTAGCAATTGGTCTTTCTGGATGATGTGTCCAAAATAAGCAAGCCAAAGTCCCACCATCCTTGCTTATCTAAAATTTCAGTTTAACTGGGTGTCCTGTGTTTTATTTGCTAAATCTGGCAATCCGCTTGAGGGAGGCCTCCTTGCCCTGCCATCCTGCACAGCCCACAGCCTCTGCGTTCTGCCTGGCACCAGGATCCTGAGGGGAAGCAGGACCTTACCCCTTCGTTCATACCCATTGACCATTGTAGCCCTCTCACAATCCTGTGAAGAACAGTAAAAGGGTCTACCTTTATAGGTGAGGAAACTAAGGGTCACAGAGATTATGCGGCCTGGGCAAGGCCCATGCTAGGAAGTGGTGGAACTGGAATTGTGCCGTATCTCCCTGGTTCCTAGTCTAGTGCTTAGACCATGGTGAGTACTCAAAAAAAGGACTTACAAACAAAATATTGTTTGATTATAAAGGTAAATGTATTCATCTGGAGAACACTGAAAAGATATAAAGAAGAATATAGGCATCTCTCATCATCTCTCCTCTCAGAGCTAACATTCGAGAATTGTTTCTTCCCATCTTTTCTCTGGGAAATTATATAACACACAAACACTTTTTTTTACAAATAGGAATCAAACTTTAAGTAGAAATTTGTATTCTGCCTTTGTTAACAGGAAAGCAGTTTCCCCTTGCCATTAAGTATTTTTCAGAGACATCATTTTTAATGACTACGTAATTTCCATTGTATGTCTGTACTATTTGTTGTTAGATGCTGTGAGTCGGTTCTGACTCACAGTGACCCTATGTACAACAGAACAAAACACTGCCTGCTCCTTGCCATTCTCACAGTCATTGCTGTATTTGAGCCGTTGTTGCAGCCGTTGTGTCAATCCATCTCATTCAGGGTCTTCCTCTTCCACTGACCTTCTACTTTAACAAGCATGATGTCCTTGTCCAGGAGCTGGTCCCTCCTGATAACACATCCAAAATACCTGAGACAAAGTCTCGCCATCCTCACTTCTAAGGAGCATTCTGGCTGTACTTCTTCCAAGACACATTTGTTCGTTCTCCTGGCAGTCTATGGTATATTCAGTATTCTTCGCCAACACCATAATTCTTCTTCGGTCTTCATTATTCATTGTCCAGCTTTCACGTGCATATGACGAGATTGAAAATACCATGGCTCGGGTCAAGCGCACCTTAGTCTTCATCTTTGCTTTTTAACACTTTAAAAAGTGTTACTATACTATAACTTACTTGAAAGTCAATCCTCTTCTGATGGGCATTTTGATTGTTTCAAATCTTTTAATATGAAAAACGGTGTTTCCATGAACAGCTGATAATTATATTTTTATGTGCTTACTTGAACACTGCTATAGGATAAATTTCTTGGTGTGGAAGTACTAGGTAAAAGAGTGTGAACATAAACTTTAATAAATTTTGCTGACGTGCCACCCTACAGAATAGGTGTAGCAATTTGTATTCGCAGGATTGAGAATTCCTGTTTCCCAAAATCTTACCAAAATTTGTTTTATTTTAAGTCTTAGCATTTTTCTGACTGGATTTTATAAGTTTCAGCTATCTACATTTATTGACAATTCATATCCTTCTTATGTAAATTGCCTGCTCATATCCTTTGTCTATTGTCCTATTGAGCTTTTGTCTATATTTTTCTTATAGATATATAAGAACTGTTTATATATCAAGGCTATTTTTAATATAAAACATTATATGCCATATGAGGCAAATATTTTTCCCATTGCTGTCTCCTTTTAATTTTGCCTATTATTGACAGACCATTACTTTTTATGAAGCTAAATTCTACCCTGTGTTTTGTAGCTTCCTCCATTGCTCTAATGTTTAACAAGTTCTTCCCCATGCTGAGATTTGCTAAACATGTAGACGTACTTTTTCTTCTAGTTGCTTTCTTGTAGTGATTCATTCTTACTGTCCCCTCCTGACCCAAACTTGCCTTCCTTTCCCACTTAGGCTGCTGCCACCCCCATAGAACCTCCTGCCTCCTCCCAGTCCCAGCCTCAGATTCACCTGGAGGAAAAGTGAGGTCTTCTTGGTCGGGTCCCAGTGAAACTCCACCGTGTTGAGTTGCGAGGTCAGCACTTGGGGTTCTATCACCCCCACGGACAATGGCACATCTGCAGTAACAGAATGGCAAAGAGGAAGAGAAGCTCAGCCCTTCCTGTTCACAAGGGCTTCCAAGCCAGAAACAGGCCCAGAAGTGTCCCTGGTCCCTCTCACCAATGTCCAGGATGCGGTCCCCAGGCCGGCTCCACCTCCATCCATCCAGCTGCTGCTGCTCTGTGTACTGCAGGCGCCGGTCATGGAACACCACGCGCACCACACTCTTCGGGCACAGGAGGGCATGGCTCAGGGGTCAGAGAGTGCCAGGGCTTTTGGGTACCAGTCCCCATATGTGGGGTACACCAGCCATCCCACCCTCTCCCCTGCCTTGCTCCCTACCCCCTAGAGGCATGAGGGACTGAGAGTCACTAGATCTGTGTTCAGATGCCCATCTCTGACTCACAAGCTGTGAAACTGGTGAAGTAAACTAGAGACCCTGAGCCTCAGTTTCCTCATCTGTGAAATGGGGAGTTAATCCCTTCCCCCCCTTAGTCACTCAAGTCTTCTTGCAACACTTAGCACCGTTTGTAATTGCATGTCATTTGTATAATTTACACATCTGTCTCACCAAGTGGAATGCAAGTTCCCTAAGAAAGAGACCTACATCTGTCTCTTCACTGCTGAATCTCTAGCTCAGAGAACAGCTTCTGGCATAAATAAATAAATATTTTTTGAGAGAAGGAATCATCTGCGTGAATAATGCTGTGTAAGTATATTTCTAAATCTCTGTTCTGTGACTGCCTGGCTGTGTGTCCTTGAGAAAATACTTAACCTCTCTGTGCCTCAATTACTTCAACAATTTCTGTCCACCACTGAGCTGTTGCGAAGGTTGAATTAAATGATGGAATAGAGTTCTACTTGACAATGACATCACAGTGATGAATTTGGCTATCTACTCAGAGGCACAGTCACATCCAACCTTTGCCAGTTCTGGGAAGGGGGTGCACTTACCTTCAGCAGCCGGGGACACTGGGCAGCATCCCCCAGCTTGGGGTTGCAGAGCATCCGCACCTCATAGGACTGGCCTGGGAGGAGGTTGGGGGATGTGTGAGCCCCACTGAGAGGCAGAGATGGTGCCTACCACTCCTAGCCCACCCTGGACCAGCCTCCAGAGCTTGCTGCCCCTCCCTAACTCCTTCCCTGCTCCAGGCCCAGTGTACCCTGATTCAGATAGGTGAGGGTCTCCTCCTGCTGCTTCACAGCTGGCGAGGTGGCAGCACAGAGAACATACTGGAACACGGAGCAGGGCGGGTCTGCACTGGGGATGTTGAGCAGCTCTTCCTGCTTCAGGTAGGGCAAGGGCAGGGGCTCCCTGCAGGAGCAGGAGGGCACTGCAAGCCTTCTGCCCTGTCCAGCCCATCCCCAAGGGGTTTTGACCCTCCTTCCAGGAAGCCCACAATTTCCTCTAACAGGTACCCCATTCAGCCTCTCCAGCTCTGGGAGGCCTTCCTGAAGGTGCAAACCTCAGATGCGTGGCTGTTCTTCTAAACAGCCGCCAAAAGTTGCTTGTGTTTGCAACCTCAGGACTTGCCTGACACCCAGTACACACCCAACAGAAATGTCCTGAGTGGGTGGGTGGTCAGGGCGTTTGGAGATGTCCCAGGACCCACTAAATTCCGTACATTCGACCACTTTCCCACCACCAAAGGAACCCAAAAACAGGAAGCCCATTCCCCTCAGCTTGAACCATATGGCCTTATCCATGCCCACCCCACCTTCTGACCGGAGCCTTCCTAGGCCCAGCCCTTACCTGAGCAGGCTGCTGGGGGGCCCGGGGTACAGTTCCCCTGGACTGGGCCACAGGTGCTCCGGCTGGTTGTGCCAAAACAGCATCTTGGAGAGGGAGCAGAGCCAGTGATGTGACAGTGATCTTAGCACTGAGTTGTGCTGGACCCACTGGGCCACCTACCTAGGGCCTCAGCCTTTATACCCAGAGGCACACTGACTGGAGGGCGGGGCAAGGCCTGCGGCCTCTTATTGGCTGAGCACCCGGGAGCTTAGAAAACTCAGGACCCGAAGGGGCAGCCCAAACTGGGGAGAATCAAGAGCCAGTGCCCCCAGGGGTCCCTGCCAATCATTAACTTGAAGGCGAGTTGGTGGTGAAGTAAAACAAAGTCACAGGGATGGACACCCACTTCCCCATCCATCCCCAGAGGCCCAGGGACACTGAGGGGCACCCTCAGGCTTCAAGACTGGCCCTAGATTCATAGGCCTCACAGAGTCCCAGGGACACCTGGGCCCATGCCCCTTACATGACCCCTGTGGGAAGAGCCTGTCCACTCTAGGGGACAGGACAAGACGGCACACAGCAACATATGGACTCACAAAAGTTGTTTGCTCAGTATTGGCCTTCCCTACCCCCATGGTGCGTGCACACACACATACACGAGTGCACACACACACAAGCAAGCAGGTGCAGTGATGGCAGGTCACCTGTCCTTTCACTGGGGGCTGCCTGGCTAGGGGACTGGAGTTTACAGAACACAATGCAGCTTATTGTGGAAACACTTAGGGGGTGGCACAAGAGGGGGAGCCTGCCTGCCTGAGGGGAGGATGGGAGGTACCAGGAGTGCCCCTCTGGCCAGGGAGGGCCAGGAGCAGTGGAAGAGCTCCAGTGGGCCTGGTCTGTGACCATTCCCTGCCTTGGGGCACGGGATGGGCTGTGTTTATGAACAAATACAGTCTGCCTGGGGGAGGGCTTCCTTCCCCACACCCAGCACCTGTTGTCACTGTGTACGGCCCCAGCCCCCTGCATCCCGCCCCCACTAGTGTGTTGGGTGTAAACAGACCTAAGGGTTTTCAGAAAGCAGAGACAGGGCTCTAACAAAGTGTCCTGATGTGGTGTGACCCTGGCTATTTAGGCTTCGTGATTGTGGGGCCTTACCTGGGGGAGAGCGAAGACCAGAGAGTTTTCCCCCTCCACCTGGGCAGGGCACATACCTCCATGTTCAGGTACTAGGCCCTTGGTCCTATACATGTTTTCTCCTCCCATGAGGCCATACAAAATGGAAAACAAAAAAACCCAAACCAGTTGCTGTCGAGTCAATTCTGACTCCTGGCGACCCCACGTGTGCAGAGTAGAACTGCACTCCATAGGCTTTTCAAGGCTGTGACGGTTTGGAGGGGGGAGAAAAAGGAATGCGGACAATCCTGCCATTGAGGGCTAAAGAAGCCTGAGTCCCCAGATGTCTGAGTCCCCAAGATGCTCCACAATAAGTTATCCTCAAGACTGAGAGAACAGGCCCATTGCCCAAATTGAGAGTTGAGGCCAGGAGACACCTACGGAACCCTCCATGCGAGGGCAGAGAAGGATCTCAGGACAGGGCAGAAGGGGAGTGGGTCCCGGAAGGGGTTGGTCCTGGCCTGGGAGGGACAGGGCAGTCCAGAGTAGGGGTAGAGCACAGGAGAGCAGCAGAACGGGCTGAGGCTTGTGCAGGGCATGGAGGCGGAAAGGGAAGAGGCTGGTGTGGGTGCCCTGAAAGGACACCACCAGGAGCTGGTATGGAGAGTGGGACATCAACTCGAACCCCAGAACCCAAATCTTCACCCACTCTCCCTCCAACTCCCGCTGCCGCTGCCTCCTCCCTCCCACCCTGGAGTCTGTGGGCTTCTCTCCCCATCCAGGTGTGGCTGGGCCTGTCCTTGGTTTTCCTTGGCCCTCGTGGTGCAGTGGTTAAGAGCTCCGCTGCTGACCAGAAGTTCAGCATTTCGAATCCACCAGGCACTCCTTGGAAACCCCATGGGGCAGTTCTACTCTGTCCTATAGGGTTGCTACGAGTCGGAATTGACTCCACGGCAACAGGTTTGGTTTTTTGGTTTTCTCTCTAAGGGAAGAAGCCAGGGCTTGAGGCAGATGGAGCTGGGACTGGCAGCGGCCCTGGTCCCACCCTACTCCTTCTCTGCACTCCTTGGATAAGGCACAGGGCAGGGTCTGAACAACCCTCAGGGGCCTCAGGAAAATTCTGATCCAGCCCACCACCCTGCAGAGGAGTCTCGGGCCCTGGGAGGGTGTGAGGCCTCCATGAGGCAAGGGCACTGCCCAGACTTCGTCTCTTTGCCTTTCTGAAACTGTTTCTTCATCTGTAAAATGGGGCAAGGCCTTCCTCCCATTCAGTGTGGCAATGAGGATTAAAGAAAATTCTGTGGAGTTGCATTGCACTCCAAGATTTAATCCTTAGGAGCTCCCCTCAGAGGAGTTGGGGACACCACAGAGGACCTCAGTTCCCCTACCAGAGCCTAGTCATGGGGGTATAGACAAGACCTCCCCAGAACCAGAAACACTCCTACACATGGGTCATTTCAAGGACAATTTTGGGGTGTGATTTTTTTTTTTTTTTAGATTAACTATTTTTAGGTGAACATTTCCATGGCATTTAGTACATTCACAGTATTATGTAACCACCTCCTCTACCTAGTTCCACATTTTCTTCACCCCAAAAGGAAGCCCCCTACCCATTAAGCAGTTGTTCCTCATTCCCCCCTCGCTGTAGGCCCCGGCAACCACTAATCCACGGTGCTTTTTTTTTTTTTAATTGCAGTTTTTCCCACCCAAAATGCTCTATCATTTTCTAGGTCATGGCACAAACCAATCCTAACAACACACTTTGGAGTTTCCTAAGTCAACAAAGTAAATTTTCATCTGTAAAAATTGCTGAAAAATAAAAATCCAGTGTCCTTCTCCTCTAACCAAAATGTTCTGTTTTGTTTCGTATCCCCAGGCAATGTTCCAACCTGGAGAACTGGAGAGTGCAGACTCCTCTCCCCCAAAGAAAGAGAGGCTGAGAGGAGAAGCATCTCTCATGCATTCATTCATTCACTCAATAAGATGTTATTGAGTGCCTACTATTACTGAGAGCCGAACAGAAGATTTGAAAGGGCGGCTCGGCATTTCCCAAGCTGAAAGAACTGAAGGGAAAATTCAAGCCTCGAGTTGCAACACTGAAGGATTTTATGAGCAAAATATTCAATAACACAGGAAGCATTAAAAGAAGATGAAAGGAATACACAGAGCCACTGTACCAAAAAGAATTTGTCGACGTTCAACCATTTCAGGAGGTAGCATGTGATCAAGAACCAATGGTACTGAAGGAAGAAGTCCAAGCTACATTGAAGGCATTGGCAAAAAACAAAGCTCCAAGATTGATGGAATACCAATTGAGATGTTTCAACAAATAGATGCAGTGCTGGAGGCGCTCACTCATCTATTGCAGGAAATTTGGAAGACAGCTACTTGGCCAACCAACTGGAAGAGATCCATGTTTGTGCCATTCCAAAGAAAGGTGATCCAACTGAATGTGGAAATTATCAAATATCATTAATATCACACACAAGTACAATTTTGCTGAAGATCATTCAAAAGCGGTTGCAGTGGTACATCAACAGGAATCTGCCAGCAATTCAAGCCAGATTCAGAAGAGGATGTGGAACAAGGGATATCATTGCTGATGTTAAATGGATCTTGGCTGAAAGCAGAGAATACCAGAAAGATGTTTACCTGTGTTTTATTGACTATGCAAAGGCATCTGACTGTGTGGATCATAACAAATTATGGATAACGTTGCGAAGAATGGGAATCCGAGAACACTTAATTGTGCTCATGAGAAACCTATACATAGACCAAGCGGCAGTCGTTCAAACAAAACAAGGGGATACTGCGTAATTTAAAGTCAGGAAAGGTGTACATCAGGGTTGTATCCTTTCATCATACTTATTCAATCTGTTTGCTGAGCAAATAATCCGAGAAGCTGGACTATATGAAGAAGAACGGGGCATCAGGATCGGAGGAAGACTTATCAACAACCTGCGATATGTTAGTGACACAACCTTGCTTGCTGAAAGTGAAGAGGATTTAAAGCACTTACTGATGAAGATCAAAGACTATAGCCTGCAGTATGGATTACACCTCAACACAAAGAAAACAAAAATCCTCACAACTGGACCAATAAGCAACGTCATGATAAATGGAGAAAAGAAAGAAGTTGTCAAGGATTTCATTTCACTTGGATCCACAATCAGCATCTATGGATAAACCCACCCAGTCAAGAAATCAAATGACATATTACAGTTGGCAAATCTGCAGCAAAAGACCTCTTTAAAGTGTTAGAAAGCGAAGATGTCACTTTGAGGACTAAGGTGTGCCTGACCCAAGCTATGGTATTTTCAATCGCCTCATATGCATGTCAATGCTTGGAAATGAATGAGGAAGACCGAAGAAGAATCGAATCGACGCCTTTGAATTATGGTGTTGGCGAAGAATATTGAATATACCATGGACTGCCAGAAGAACGAACAAATCTGCCTTGGAAGAAGTACAGCCAGAATGTTCCTTAGAATCGAGGATGGCCAGACTTCGTCTCACGTACTTTGGACACATTATTAGGAGGCACCAGTCCCTGGAGAAGGAGATCATGCTTGGTAAAGTAGAGGGTCAGCAAAAAAGAGGAAGACGCTCAAAGAGATGAACAGCTACAGTGGCTCTAACAATGGGCTCAAACATAGCAAGGATTGTGAGGATGGCGCAGGACCAGGCAGTGTTTTGTTCTGTTGTACACAGGGTCACTGTGAGTCAGAACCGACTCAATGGCACCTGACAACACCTCGTGGCAGGAGTCCCTGGGTGGTGCAAATGGTTAACACGCTGCTGCTAACCAAAAGGTTGGCGTTTCTTGTCTACCCAGAGGTGCCTTGGAAAAAAGTCCTGGCTTCCAAAAATCAGCCACTGAAAACCACATGGAGCACAGTTCTACTCTGATACACATGGAGTCACCATGAGTCAGAATCAACCTGAAGTCAACTGATATTTTAAATATGTGCCAGGCTCTGTCTCTCCCTCA